ATGTCAGGAAACTGGGTTAACAGTTAACTCATCTCTTGAAGGGACAGGTCTGGTTTGTGTTAGTAGTTGACTCATCTCCTGAGGGGCCAGGGTGGTCTGTCCTGCATAAACCGATCCCAGGAAGAGATAAAATAGCTCTGCTGTGACTACACCAGAGCACCAGAGTTTACTGGAAAGGTCACTTAAAGTTAAAGTTAAAACATAGGAGAAGGGGGTTTTTTCTCTGGCCTTACAGTCCCATGTGGGCAACGCCTGCCTAGCAGGGGCATAGTGGGGGCATCCGGGACGAAGGCTACGCTACGTGGTTCAGAACGTCACATCTGCGGCTGCGCAGACTGTAGACTCCAGCTCCAGCCAGGAACGAGCGGGACTCATGATGAACAGAAGGCAGATATACCTCGTGGTGGTGGTAGGAGCCTGGGACAAACACAGTCTGCACTTCTCTGGTGTCTCCTCCAAGGGCAGCCAGGAGGCTTGAGCAGCAGCGCTGCCTCCTTCCCTCCATCATTCCAGCAGGTAAGCATTTTTTGAATGCACTAAGGAAGTTTAAGACATACACTGACAAGTAGGGTTTAGGAAGAATGCAAAATAGCGTGTTCAAAAGAGAGCCGTAACAAGGTGATGATAAAGAAACTCAGAGGGCAGTGTGTTTTCTCCCAGCCAGGTAGAAAGGTCTTCGTATAATAGTAGCACATGAGCCAGACCTTCAAGGTTCAGTAGAATTTTCAACTTTGAAACTTAACTGGCCCTAGCCTGGTACTGCTGGTGCAGAGCAGAAAAGTTGACTACCAAGGCATATATATGTGTGAGTACCAGGCCAGCTTGTGGATGTCAGGGGCTGCTTTTGTCTTTCTCACTACTGTCTGCACTCAGGTAACTCTTTCCCAGAGCCTCTAAACCAGGAATTGGCTGACTTATGGTCCGCAGGCCGAATCTGGCCCATTGCCTATTCTTTTAGGTAAACTATTACTGGTATATACCCGCTCTTCTGTCTGTGGCTGCTTTTTTAATCAAGTTCAGTTTTTCTAATTTTTCTTTTATCTGTTGTGCTTTTAGTATCATATCTAGGTAGTCATAGAATATCTAAGGTCATTAATATTTGTTCCTACGTTTTTGTCTTAAAAATTTGAGTTCATTAAATGTATTAGCCATTTTGAGTTTACATGGTTTTATTTAGAGATCCAGATTCATTCCTTTACATATTGATGTCCAGTTATTCTAGAATCTTGGCACACTTATCGAAAAATAAATTGACTGTGAATGTAAGAGTTTATTTCTCACCTCCAAATTATATTTTACTTCTTTATGTTTATCCTTATGCCAATACTACTGAGAAGGCTAAAAAGGGCTAATTCAAATGTAATCCTGATATTTTGGGGGCTAGCAATTGGAATCTATGCCAGCAAGCTAACCTAGAATTAAGTCATTACCTCCTTCCCAGAAACTGGTCTTGCAGAACCTGTTACAGAGGCCATAAAACTGTGAGCAGTGCACTGCCCGGGAGGGAGGGAGGGTGAATAACACTGGCTACAGGCCAAACCATCAGATATGGCCTGGAGACCTCCAACACCTAGGGGCCTTCTTAAAGGACCAGAAACATAATCCATATTTGTGGGACAAGACCATAGGGAAATATGAAAAGAGGCTCCTTGCATGTTTCGGTACTCAGATTTGGAAGCTATTCCCTGAGTCCACTGGCGTAATTAAACAGTGTCCCTCCATTTCTTTAAAGCGTTGCTTGGTTTTCTTTGGTCTTCTGCAACACTACAATGTACATACTGGTTAATATTGTAGTGATTTTTAAAATTGAAAAATTTGAGTCATTAAAGTTTGCTCTTTTTAAGAAATATTTTTAACCAATTTGGGACCCTTTGACACCTATATGAATTTTAGAATAAGTTTACAATTTCTGTAAAAACAAATAAAGAACCACCCTTAAAACAAAAACAACAGCAAGAAAATAGCAGCTGGGATTTTTGATAGGAATTTGTATTGAATCTATAAATCTATTTGGGAGTATAGCCATTTTAATAATGTTAAATCTTACAATTCATGAAAATTGGATACCTTTCCATTTATTTGTCTTAAAATTTTTTTAATTTTTTTTTTAGTTTTCAGTGTACAGGTGTTGCAATTCTTCTAAGTAATTATTTCTAAGTATTCTATTCTTCCTGATTCTATGTAAATGAAATTGTATTCTTAATATTTAATTAATTAAAATTAACCAATTTAAAAATACTTAATTTAAATGTAATATTTTATGTATAAGTGAGATCATAGGCTATTTATCTTTCTTTGACTTATTTCACTTAGAATAATGCCCTAAAAGTCCACCCATGTTGTCACAAATGGCCAGAAGTTCTTCTTTTTATGGCTGAATAATATTCCATTCTTTTATGGGTGAATAATATTCCTCTTTTTTTTTAATCCATGTCGGTGGACACTTAGGTTGTTTTCATGTTTTGGCAATTACAAATCATGCTTTGGTGAACATGGGGGTAGATATGTTTTCTTGAATTCATGTTTTTTTCTTTTTTAAAAATGTTTTTATTGATTTCACAGAGGAAGGGAGAGGAAGAGAGAGATAGAAACATCAATGATTAGAGACAACCAATGAGCAACACCGGCCAGGCATGTTTTTATTTTCTTTAGATAAATACTCAGAATTGGAATTCCTGGACCATATGGTAGTTATATTTTTAATTTTTTTGAGAACCTTTCAAACTGTTTTACATAATGCCTATACCAATTTTCATTCTCAGTCACAGTGTACAAGGGTTCCCTTTTCTCTACATCCTTGCCAACACTAGTAATTTCTTTTTTGATAGTAAACATTCTAATAGGTGTAAGGTGATATCTCATTGTGTCTTTGACTTACATCTCCCTGATGATTAGTGTCTTGAGCACCTTTTCATGTACCTGTTGTCTTCTTTGGAAAAATGTCTATTCAGATCTTCTGCCCATTTTTTAAATGGCATTGTTGTTTTTTTTACTATTGAGTTGTGTGAGTTCTTTATTTTGGATATTGGTCTCTTATCAGATATATGATTTATAATTATTTTCTCCCATCAGTAGGTTGCCTTTTCCTTTTGTTGATGGTTTCCTTTGCTGTGTAGAAGCTTTTTAATTTGATGTAGTCCTACCATTTTATTTTTACTTTTGTTGTCTTTGCTTTTGGTGTCTTCTTTTAATTTTTTGCGCATGTTTTCCTTTAGTCCTTTCAACATATTTATAACAGTCAACTTACTATCTTTGTCACTAAGTCCAACAGTTTTTATTTATTGCATTTTTTCCTATGTATTGGCCATATTTTCCTATTTCTCTGGGTGTCCTATAATTTTTTGTTGAAAACTAAGCATTTTAAATGATATAATTTGACAATTTTGGAAATCAGACAGCCCCCATGACCTATTTTCCTTGCTATTTGTTATTATTTTCTAGTGTCTTTCTTGGCTAATTCTATTAAGGTTGTTTTCTTTGTTGTGTACAACCAATCAGATATCAGCATAGTTAATTTGGAAGTTAGCTAATGACTGGAGAGAGATTCTCTTAAATTCTTTGTATCAATAAGTCTCATAGTCTTTTCCAAGAGCCTTTGTGTGTGTGGGGTGGTGAATTTTTTCAATGTTTTGTCAATTCTTCTTTGTAGGGGTTCTCAAAGTCAGCTAGAAATTAGAGCTTTCTCAAAATTTCCTGGGCAGATACACTGTCTACATGTGTGTGGCAATCTAGCTTCCCAGGAATATGTCAGTTTTTCAAATATCTTGG